ATTTTCAGTACAAATCGGCAATTTCATACTTTAACCCCTATTATAAAGATCGAACACAGAGAGAAATTCCTTTAACCTGAGTAAATTTGGACTATTCAACTTTATTTGTAAGTCACTGATTCAACTAATAATTTCACAAAAATAGAATGAAAATCATTATGATAATCAATGACTAGTACTAAAATTTATCCTAGTTTTTTTCTCCGTACTTTTTAATAAATTTCAAAAAAAATGGAGGTCAATTCGACTGTATTTTTATATGTATGTTACCCGATAACTCTTAACTTAATTTGACTTATTTGTGTACCGATTTTAATGATTCTTTTTTTTATCGGAAAGAGTATACCTTAGTATTGGTCCCATTTACCTAAATTTGAAGAAAATATTCCACCTCTAACGGTAGCAAACTAACGGGGATAATCCGTTTTCGCGCACTTTCCGGTAACCGATTTCAATAAATTGATATAATTCCACAGGTCAATGAATTCCCCGTAATTTTGAGATCGGTTTTTTCTTATACATAGGGCGCACTATAAGTTTCTGGAACTGGCCACTTACATAAACAATATTTAAAAAGTAATTACAACATTTGAAAATGGAACTCTTTGACTGTAGAATACAGTTTGTCTCATCTAACTGTTACTTGTTTTTACAATGTGACGTCATTTTAGGAGTCGGTTGTCTACATCACCGTGGATTTAACTCGTGAAAATTTTTGTAATATAATTTTCTACAACTTTAAGTGTAATTTAACAACTCAGCGGAGCTTCACTCGGCTTCAAACTGCTTTTGGCGATGAAGCACCATGCAAGACGACTATTTATAGCTGGTTTGTAGAATTCAAACGCGGTCGTGTGAATCTCAGTGACGAATTTCGTGATGGTCGCCCGTCCACTGCTGTGAACAACAAAAACATCGATGCTGTGCGCCGTATGATCAAAACAGACAGGCATGTGACATACCATGAGATTCGGGCATCTTTAAGCATAGGCATGAGTCAAATACAATCAATACTACACAAACATTTGGGTGTGAAAAAGCTGTGCTCTCGGTGGATCCCGCACAAATTGACTGAGGGTCAAAAAACGGATCACGTCACTTGGTGCAATGCCATGCTTACCAGATTCAACGAAAGGGCGTCAAATTTGCTGTGTGACATAGTTGTTACGTCGCCTGTTGGTGACGAACCATGGATTTATAGTTATGATCCTAAAACAAAGCAGCAATCGAGTGCATGGGTCTTTCGTGACAAGCCGAAACCAGCAAATTGGCGCGCGGGCAAAGTGCCTCTAACCGGATGATTGCTTCTTTTTTTAATAAAACTGAATAAAACACGTGGCTACGTGTGGCGTGGCTTTGGAGAATCGTTTTACCGTGAATACTATTGGTACACGACCATTTGTTTGCCGGAAGTTATTGACAAACTCCGTAAAAATAACCGTAAATGGCGTATCATCTTGCACCACGATAATGCCAGTTCTCACACGACCAGCCTGACAAATGAATTTTTGAAGGTGAACAACGTTGACCTTATGAGCCATACCGCGTGCAGTCCCGAGCAGGCACCTTGTGACTGTTATTTATTTCCAAAAATAGATGAAAATCATTAACCGCGAACTGGTTCTTACAGTTCGCGGTCAATGATTTTCATCACCTGAAGAGGCTGTCGAAAGTATGAAAAATATGTTCCAGAGATTATCTGGAGGAGTGGCATAAATGTTTTCAAAATTGGTTCATTCGTATGAAAAAGTGCATTAACACTATTTTAAGAAACAATAAATTCATTTCTGACCATTTATAAGTATTTTTTTCTTATTCGTTCTGGAAACTTATAGTGCGTCACACGTATAAAAAATATTGTTGTTCTGTTTTAATTTATAAAGATACACTCAGCTTTTTGAGCGGAATCCTTACTAATAACTAAAATTGTTTTCTTACCTATTTAATTTCTGGCTATACAGGATTGTACTCAGCGGTGTACACTGCCAAGGCAATGAAACCAATCTATTCCAATGCCAGCACGAGGATTTGGGAAATGTTAAATGCCGTAGTGAAGTTGGTAAGTGGCACTTTTTACATTATTGTGCCTTGTTACTCAGGAAAAGTATTGTAGATCACTAAATACATTCTATCCAGCCTTGTTAGGAATTTCGCGTTTTCAAAAGTTTTTTGAACTATGTGCAACACAATGATTTTTCTTGTATTTTTTCCTTCATCATTATGTATATGAAGTAATCTTCGTTCGATCGATCGTTGTATTAATAATTATAACAAACTAGTGGAGTAATTTCACAAAAAATAATTGAATATTAATTCAATAAAAATTTAATTAATACAGTGAATAGCGACATCTCTCGCCAGGACTGGTAGCTGTAAAGGTACTAACTGGGTGATAAATCTGTCAAAGATTTCTCATAGATGGCGCTACGACTAAAAAGTCGTTGAAAAACCAAATACAAAGACACGACGCAAGCACGTAGAGAAATTCGTGAGGTCCGTTGGTTCGTTCCGTGGCTTAGTTGGTATAGCGTCTGGCACGGTATGCAAGAAGACGTCGGTTCGAATCCGAACGGATCGAAGGAATTTTTTCTGAGTGTTTTTTCTGAGTGTTCGATATTTGTATTAATAATTATAACAAACTTGTGGGGTAATTTCACAAAAAATAATTGAATATTAATTCAATAAAAATTTAATTATATGAAGTAATGTTTAGTACATTCCACCTTTACAATGAAAGCGACCTAATTTAAAAAATAAAAAAGAATACATATCATGAACCGACTTTAAAAAACATAAATCATAATGATAAGTGTTAGGTACCACGGCAGCAGTTAGTTTGAATGAGACTCAAGAAAGTGACGTTGTTAGTGTAATGTACGATCCTGCGTAACTATGTCTTTAATAAATCGGATTTTTAGTAGCAGTAGAGCTCCTTGTGAAAGAGTTCGTCCAGGGAAATACTACCACCTTTCCTATTTTTAGCGCCTAGCAGTAACGTCAGTCCTTACTGTGTTCCGGTTTTGAAGGGTAAGAGTCCCGGTGGAGTTACAGGCACATGTGACTTGTCAACATATGTCCCTTGGTTTTATAAAAAAAAAGTTCGAGTTGCCAGGCTTTTGGCGCGCAGAATCCGTCGAGTCACCGCCGCGGAATCTCATGAATAAGGACCACGAACTGGTTCGAAACATGTCGAAAATTGGACTTAAATACGTCAGTTATTCCTTAGTTCAGTTAACATTATTATGTCTGAGTGTAGCGATGGTTTTCTAATTAAAATATTATTCAGAAGGTTGCTTATTTGGAGCTGACTCATTAAGGTTCAAATGGCATAGACTCTATATGAATCCCTGTGCGCGAGGACATTCCTTTTGATATTTTTTATGCCTTTAAATTTTGTATTCTTTTTGACGTTATGTTTTTGTTATTCATTGTTGTCAGTCGCTACATAAAATATTTTCCCAAAAATCCCAAAGGATTCTCTATTTCTTCAGTCTCCCTCTTAATTGCTAGGCAAGCGTCTCGCCAACAGTCTCTTTATTGTGTTTGAAATTCCACTCCCGTCTCGGTACGTAACTGCTGTATTTAATACTGAATCTTTATCTCAAAAAAAAAACCTACAAAGACAACCACTGTTGGTGAAAATGTGACGGATAAGTAATTGAGCCGATTTCTGAAATTTTTACAAACACGACTTACTTTATTACTTACAGGACTGTCTTATCACAATTAATACGGCCTAACCTTGATAAGGTCATAACATCTTGTTTAGCTCGTGAAAATGAAATTTTTAATTCTTGTCAGGTCAAATGACAACAAAAAAGTTCAGTATAAAAATGACCTTATATGGATCAGTTTTTAACCGACTTCAAAAAAGGATGTGGTTCTCAATTCGACTGTATGTTTTTTTTGTATGTATGTTACGCGATAACTCCGGTATTTGTGAACCGATTTTCATGATTCTTTTTTTTGTTGGAAAGGGGGTACTTCCATAGTGGTCCCATTTCATTTTGAAGGAAATCATCCACCTCTAAGGGTGACTGTTCACGCATGAAGCTTCATTTTTATAAGAAGCGCCTAAATTTTCTTAAGGAGCAATTATTTTAATGATTGATTTTGCTATTTCTCCAATTCAAGGCGTTTTTCTCTCAATATTCTTTGAGTAGTGAGAACCGATTTTTATTATCTCCAGTGTCAAGTCCTGTATAGTGGTAAGTGTAAGGATATTTCAATAAAACAGCAAATAGATGTAATTCCACGTACTTCTGAGGTCGATTTTTTTAGTACTCTGTACTGAGATTATTGTAAATTCAATTATTTAATTGTTAAATATTAAAATAATGTATAAAATAAGTTTTTGGATATAAAGCTGAATGTTTCATCATTATTTTCTGTTTTTCTTTTTTTATATAATATCAAGTAACGGGACGAACAAATCGTGCGTCTGATGACAAGCTACACGCCTGTCCATAACAGTTGCAGTGCCACTCAGAGTTTAGAAATGACAAAGATCTGAAGAACGTTGCCACCCCGCCAATCACCCTGAGACATAAGTTGACAAGTTCCATGTGCCTGTAATCTCACCAGCACCTTTTAAAACCGGAACGCAGTAATGCTAACATTACCTACCGCATGGCGGCAGAAGTAGATGAGGCGGCAGTACTTCCCTGGATGAACTCTTTCACAAGAAGCCTACTGCTAAAACTAATAAGTTCTTTCGCTGGAAGTAATAAGTTCTTTAGTACTTCAAGAGTTTTAAATTAAGTAATCTGAAAATTTCATCACTTCAAAACTTATTTTGCGTATTCCCGAAAAGTTGAATTTTTATGTTCGGTCTCTATCATTCTAAAGGTGCGACATATTTTAATCAACGTATTCTTGGTGCTCATAGCCGTATTTTCGTAACCAAAAGACAAGCATTTTCTATAATCATAATTGCAGTTGTTTCTTTATTATTTTTCTCCTAACTGGGTAACAGGGCAGGCGAAAAACAGCCCGGTAGCTTAGATGTTCTGTCCTTCCGGCTTAGTGTAGCTGTCAAACTTTTGACAGGATGGTCGTTAAAATTACTGTTGTTTTATTCTTTTTATAAATGTATATTCTATTTATATCCTTGTTTTTATGCTGTCGTTGTTTGTTATTTTCTTTTCTTTTAATTATTCTTTCAAACTGTTAAAGCTTTTGCGCATTGCGTCCGATTTGTATCAGAGGGTCTACTCTCGATCTCCGTCGGACATCCTTCCGAAGCAATTACTGTGAAATAAGTAATATTCGACAAAATTAAAAGACAAGTATCAAGTATGAAGCTTCATTCGCATCACGCGTGTTTTCATTTGGTCAAGTATTGCTTATTTGGCAGTAATTGTTTTGGACGGATGTCAGACGGAGATCGAAAGTAGACCCCCAGTTCCGAATCCGAGAAATGATGGTCCGAAATCTCACAGCTATCATTTCATCTCTAGGTGTACAAGCGATATTCGCATTTTCTCGAATTCGAATTGGACTTAGTGCACAAGCGACATCCGAAGTGGGTCCGAATTTTCTAGAATCTCTTCTAGAAAATTCTAGAAGAGATTCTTCTAGAAAAGTCTCGAATTCGGAACGAATACGAACTTGATGCAGTGCGCAAACGCGCCTACTTTTTCTTCTGTGACGTCATGAGTCATAAGTAAATAAATATCTTCTCTCTCTTTCTTTGCTTTACATTTAAGTTTTTGACAAATCATTAGTGTTTAAACTGTGGTTTAAACCCCAACATTGAATTAGAAATATATTAATATCACCAGGCATTGTTCAAATAGTCTTCGTCTTTGACATATTCAGTCAAGTCGGAATACTTGCAATAATCCCGAATATCGTCTTAACAGTATTATAATGGTTGTAAATTTACTAAATAGGATTGGGTAAGTCTTAATCCTGTTGTGGATTATAAATGATTAATTAATTAACAAAGTTGGGTTACCTACATGTACTTAAAGTTTAACGATCGGTACAAGATATTATTTTGATTAGACCACTTGAATAGTTCAAAATTCCAAATCCTGAAACGTCATTAATTATAACTATATAAACCACAAAGATTTGAGAGGCACTGCCACAGCACCCGTCACTCTTGGAGTGTTTACTCATGGCGACTTTTAGCATCGATGCAAGCGGGCTACTGCATCGATACAAACGCGCGATTGCACTGCTGCTCTTGGGATTTATAAGCATTGATCATGATTGATGCAATCGCGCGTTAGTGTCGATGCAATCGCGCATCAATGCATCGCTGCTAGACATAAGTTGACAAGTCTATACTTTTATATAGTATAATTCAATTTATAGGCAATCTATGTAATATTTATAATTTGTTATAAATATTACATAGATGATTGTATATGATGATTGGATAAATACACAATGTATTTTTCATTTTTGTGGCGCACCGCGGTAGTACAGTTTACGGCGCGCTCATGAATCCTAATGGTCTTCAATGGCCTTCTGGCTTTTGTGTTTTTAGTTTTCGGTTAAGGTTACAAGGACTTAAAGCGCCACGAGACTAAATTGTCTCATACGGTCTTCCTTGCGGCCGCAAAGATAGTAATATATATATATATAATATAGCTTGCTAAAAATAGATGGGGAGCTGCCCACCACGGCGAGGGCTACTCTCTCCTCAGAGAACTGATCATACTGGAAGAGAGGCATGCAATTTTGCTATATCACTAAGCCTGGTAGATCACGTAACAAGACTACCTGTTAAGGATAATAAAGCCTACAATGAAAACTAAGACATTATGTCATATTACAGACACACTCGTTATAAGGCAAACCTAAAATCAAATGAACATTCCCGAATAAAACAACAATGATGATGAATGATGAACTTCAGGCTCGATTCAATTTAAAAAGTTTGCGGCCGAAATTGAATCTGTCGGAACGCGTAAAACGATTAGTCGAAATCGAAAAATTCAGAATTTCCCGTTACTTCGTTATTAAACCTGTACATGTGAATTCTACAGAAATAAGCTAGAAACAGACACGAAACAATTAACAGAAGTCATAAACGTGTTTTCAAGT